ATTTTGTTTTAATCAGAAACTTATTCGGCATCAATAATGTGTCCAAAGTAAACTTTATGGATGATGTTAATGTTTAGCGCTGCTGTTTTGTGACACTTCTTTTACAACTTCGGCTGCAAAACTCTTAATAATCTGTGACAAGAAGTTTTGTGTTARGACACATTTAAATTGTATTAACAGTAGCTGGTCTACTTTTAGTCAAAATTAGTTTCTGACCAGCAGAACAACGTTTTGTTTATTTTCAAGAGTGTTCCTGTAATGTCAGAAAATAAAAAAAGTTTTGAAATTAAAACCTTTATTTCTGTCTGGGCTTTATGTTTAAAGTCACACTTCTATATTAAATGAGTTCACGATGAGAGGTCATTTTTATATATAAAAACTGCAGGATTATAAATCACATTTGAGTACAAGGTAATACTGCATTGTTTTACTTAATTTCTGCTGGATTATTACTGACTTTAAAATACATTGATTTAATACGAACAGACTCAGGGAAACGGTTTTTGACACAGTCAGGTGTCATGTGAAATATTAAAGCTGGACTTCATGTTGCATTTCTATGAGTTATTATATCCTTTTAAACTAAGTTTTTGAGGCTTTATTCTGGTTTGTGTTTTTCAGAACAGATTAAATATAATTAATTTAACATAATTAATGAAGCCATGGTAAATTAATTGCATTAATAGGTATCATCATCTAGTTTTCAATAATGTGATTGTAAAAACAATATATTTTACACACTGTAAAAAGTGACTGTTTCATGGTGCAAAGTAAACACCAGATGGCAGTACAAGTGTGTGCATGTTTAATGAGATATTATTTTACTGTTCATTATTTGGGGGGCTGCAGTAGCTCGGTGGTCCGTGCCACAGTTGCAAGGAAGTGAAAAAGATGAGCCTAAAAGCTTGTCACTGTGTGATGCCTTGCTCGAAGGCAGCTTTACGCTCACCCCGCCTGTCTCAGATGTGCTGCCATGAGTTAAATGTAAAAAAATAATAATTTCCATTGTGGAAACACCTGTGTCACAAGGGTGATTATAGGCTTGTCTTTATATTTTTATATTCTCCAGTGACTGTGAGTCACGCAGATCAGTGAAAATAAAACCCTGAAGATTAACTGGCCGTGTTTGGACACTTGACTATAAAAAGTGGGAAATGTGTCGCAGGTTATCTTTAGGGAAAGTATGACTCAGATAACAGTAACTGTAGCTCAGTTTGTCAAAAGATTAACTTGAGTCATCTGACCATTCAGTTTTTTTATTCTATTTTTATAATCTGCACAAATGTACTGTGGTTGTTTTGCTAATTATGGATAAATGAAAGCTGAAATACCTAGAATTTTTCTTATATATAAACAACCTGTCATCGTAGATTAAGTCCAACAGTGTATCGTTAAGATAATAGAGGCTACTTTGTATGTATATAAAATTTTACAACATATTTAAAAAAGTTTTATATATTCAATCATTTCTGCTTGCAGAGTTGTAAAGTAACAAAGTACAAATACTTTGTTACTGCTTATAGAAATTTTGGTTATCTGTACTTTACTTGAGTAAATTTTTTTCAACGTACTTTTTACTTTTACTCATTATGTTTTTACACAATTTTCTGTACTTTCTACTTACTACATTTTTTAAAAAGTAAGAAGTAGAAAGTTTTTACTCCTATTTTATTCCAAGTTGTTATTACTTAAAAAAATACTATCCTGATAAATTGTGTCTCCTGGATAGAATGAATTTAATTGTGGTTAGATGAGAAGTATAAATATATACCATTCTGACAGGTGTACACAACCCATCACAGCTGCACGCCATTAGAAAAAATATTTTTTGGAGAAGTCACCTCCCAATAAATGTCATTTTGGAAAATCTAACTGCTTACTTTTACTCAGTACTTTTACTTTTAATACTTAAGTAGGTTTTGTGTCAGAAATTTACTTTTGATACTTAAGTACAAAAAGTGTCAGACACTTTAATACAGAGCCGGCTCTTAGCATAGGTGAACTAGGCGGTCGCCTAGAGCGCCATCTGCTGGAGGGGGCGCCAAAATGCAGAAGAAAAAATAGTAATTATTTGTAATCCCTSGTTTTAACTCTGCTCAGCGCCCCTTTCAATTAGCATTGTCTTAAAAAACTATAATGAAGTATTACAGGAAAAATAAACTATTCATGAAACATCCCCCCCCAATGCAGCAATCGCCCCCACCCTCTCTCTCATTTGATTGACGTTGCACTGACTCGTCGTCCTGCTCAGTGGGAAAGGAGAGCGGAAAAAGTTCAAAACTTAATTTTACTGGCAGAACAGGTTGGAAGATTAATTATTGTTTTTTAAATCATCCTAAAGGCTCTGACATGTTAGATAATTTTGAAAATAAGGTTTTGAAAAAAATCCATTAGACTTGTAAAAATCAGTGAGATTGCCCTACACGTCCGTATACCTGCAAAATTTCGTAAAATCCTTATAACTTATGGACAATCCGTACAAGCTGACATGTATGTTATTATTTACTGTATTTGCTTTCTGGGAAAGCAAATAAATCTAAGTTTACCAAAGTACCTTTCACAGTCAAACTTGTTTTTATGGGTTTAAACTGGGGTGGGTGGGACATAGTTGGGGGTGGGGGTTCGATTCTACTCGCCTAGGGCACCAAAGTGGCTAGAGCCAGCACTGCTTTAATACTTTTACTCAAGTAATATTTTTAGAGAAGAATTTAACTTTTACAAAAGCATTTTATGATAAGATACTTGTACTTTTACTCAAGTATCCCTTTGAGATACTTTATACAACAATGTCTGCTTGTTTTATTTATCCATTTGTTAATGTTTCGCCACATTCTGTCACACAGAGTGTCTCCAGACTTTTAATTCTTTTCTCTTCTGCCTTTCTTGGTTTCTCTTTGGTTAAACCTTTTTAACAATTTGATTTTAATGTACGTCACTTTGTCTTCAACTTTTTATCCTGATGCATGAATCCACTCAATCTGTGTGTRGTTTAATAAGTCAGTTTGTCAACAAAGCCATACAGGAGAGCATCTACCCTTTACTGTTCAAGACAATCTTCTGACTCCAAGACAATCAACGTCACTTTTAAAAACTATTTGCTCTGTTACTGATGATTTTCCATGTTTGTTTCCTGCAGGTCTGATGTTGATTCCTGGATTTGATTCAAAGAAAGAACCCTGCCTGAGACTGAGCAGACAGAAAATATTTAATATAAAAAGGAAAAAAATCTATGAGCAGCTGGTCAGAGAGATGAACAAAACAATTAGGGAAATTCTGAACTACAGTTTTATTTATCAGTCTGATTGGAATAATTAAGAAATACAAATCAATCTCCCTCCATGTCCATGGAGACAGAATGGACAGGCTCTGGTTTTATGGCCTCTGATGACTTAAAACATCCCTCACTGTCCTGTCGTATTTGTGTTTGTATCTGTGAATTACTTGTGTGACAATCAGACACACAAAAAAGCAAAAATCCCAGAAAACAACTTATAGATGCTTATTTCTATTCAGCCTTCAAGTTTATAACTTATTGCMATTTTATGTTGATCTGCTGATGTTTATTCAGATCTAGGTGGACTTGTTTAGCTGCTTGTTGTTGAATCATTGACCCATAATGAAGCAAGGTAAAGACCAAATTAGGCTGCAATTATTAAACAATTAACAAGTCAAATTTGATTCTCCACCTAACCAGGTTTACAAGACTAGAATAATGAGTCCCTGCTGTCTTTTTCTCAGAAGTTACCTCACAGGTTTGTCTGATAAGGTGTTGCATGACTCCRTCATTTTTCACACAGTTTCAAAGTCAGTTGAGACATTTGTTTACAAGATGTTTTGTTTGGTACTTGTGTCTGATGAATTTAGTTTCCCATAATCTGCTTCCATAAATGATTTTAGTTTAAGGAAGCAGCTCCTTCCTGGGTCTGAAAAGAAGTCTGCTCTGATTGGTCAGCTTCAGGAGCCTTTTGCACGAGTCGCTTTACTGCAAAAACTGTTCATCCAAGTCTTACAATCTTATATCAGCTAAAATGTAATTTTGATCTTGTTTTGAAACCGATATACTAAGACCATTATTTTTAAAATACATATCATTATTGGTGTTGTAACAGTAAAAAAAATCCAGATAAAATTCGTTGYTAACTGGAATTACATTCTTAAAATTTTTCTAATAGAAAACTGAAAGTTTCTCAAACTTCCAAATTTGTTCATTTACTCACACTCAAAACTGATTTATTTTCTAGTTTCATAAATCAATAAACAAGCACACAGATTTGTCTTTTTTATGTCTTCTGAAGATATTTCATGTCAAAATATGGTATCAGTCCTGCAGAGGTGTGTGAAATCCCTCCGAGTAAATCATCTGCACTGACGGATGCTTGAGGAGTAAATGAACATGCAAGCCTTGAGGCACAACTGCCACGCTGCATCAAGTCAAATACGTGTGAAAAGGCTAAATACAGTATGTGAAGCCTTGCTCAGCATGTGTAAATGGAATAAATTATGGAAGTTCAGTGCTTCTTTAACACAGAAAGAAAGGAAACTTAGTTTTCTTTGGATTATGCATTCTTTATTTACTATAAGTAAGACAGAAGTCATCAGCTTTTCTCCTGACAGTCTTGGTCCTTTGGCTTCATAAAGCTGCTCTGCTGTCAGAAATTTGGGTTTCACTTTTGACAATGGCTGTGTCCAAAACGACAGGCCGGGTCCTCCGGAGGACCCAGACTCCCCGGTCTCGG